AAGACTCAGGCCCCATAAGAGCCTGTACAAAGTTTTCGTTCTTTCGCCTAGTCGGAGGAGATTTTTTGCGAAACAAACCAACCCACTTTCACGGGCATTCTGTCCATATCGAACATCGTATGAAGGAAAAAATGTGAAAAAACAATTAAAATTTTTGAACCAAACCAACAAACGCGTAGGGTTTTGGACGATTTTTACATTGAACTTTTTTCCAAAACGAAATCTTTCAAAAAAAAATGATAAAAGTGGTTTTTTGCAAAAAAATGTTCTTACAAAGCCCAGAACGATTGATAGCAAATGCAAATCTCAGCACGCCACTGCTTAGAACAGCTCAGTGATCATAAAAAACGTTCTATTCACTTTCCTGCTAAATTGAGTCGTTAGGGAGCTACCGCAGGTTTTAGGGTTTCGCACCAAATTTCCTCACTTTCGACTCAAATGAAGTTTTTCACCCCCAGTGTTTGAAACTGACATTTGATATGAAAAACCATCCAAAATGAGCTTGCAGAGTGCAAACCAACCTTGGAGCTTTCATAAAGCTTTGCAGTTTCAGGCCTCAGAACAGCCTGCACACAAGGTTTTCCTTATGGAACGTGCTGAAAGCAATTTGGAAAAAACGACTTATTTTTGGATCAAAAAATCTATCGAGGATTTAGCTTGATCTTCACAACGACTTTTGTACTCTCAACCGACGCTTTCAATGAAAAAAAAAATTGCTTGGTTAAATGTCGGGCTGGTCATAATCTATCTACAAGTAATTTTCGCAACAAAACCCCCGCAGCAATTTTAACCACGCCACTGGTTAGTGGAACGCAAAATTCCTAAAAATGCTCGTATTCACATTGTGTCTAAAGACCAGCTTTTGAACGATTTTTGATTTGAAGCCAAATTTCGAGGGAATTTTACCAGCTTCCACCCACACCGAATTGAGGTCGAATCCTCACTGTCCTTTAATCTTTTAACGCTTAAAACCAAAAACACGTGGATCAATGCAAAAATCCGTCCATCCTCAGGCCGCACGTCCTCCCTTTGAAGACCTCTTGCAGCTAAACGACCCTCTCGTGTCCCCCATGCGAGATTATTCTAGATCTAAACGATTTATTGCAGTTCAGGCTAGACCTGAATGAATTGGTCAACAACGAGATCGCGACACTGTTAGCGCTATGGAGAGGAGAATGGAGAACGACCACAACGGGCGACTGATGTGATGGAGAGCCGTTTGAGCAATGCTGGATGGCTTCGGGTGAATAATGTTAACAGGGGGCGGCTCCACGAACTCATCGAACTCATCCAAATCGGAGAAAATCAGCGATGATGGAATCCAGCGCAATCTATTAGCAGCGTGAAATGAAAGAAAAACGACTGTTAGGGACATGCAACCGATGGAACCGACTGAAAATGTTGATGCGACTGATGAAGCCTTGCGAATTGGTTCCCCCCATGCAAATTCTCCAATTTGCTCACCCGCAATTGCGATAAAAACTACTGCGCCTCTACATAGCTGTCGCCCCAGCTTCCATCGCTATAAGTCCAATGTGAATCATTATAAGGACACTATCTGGACCAGGAAGAGGAAGCGGCTCACTTACCTGGAACAGGACTTCACGTTCAGACCATTGATGGCTTTTACGCCCAGATCCAGAGTTTTGGACTGTTGCAGCTCGAAGCCGTGGATGCAGCCCTGGAATCCTGCGGAGAACTTTCCGCCGGTCATCTGGCTGATGTTGGGCGCCCCGCCGAGGAAAATGTTGCCTAAACAAGTCACGCTGTAGACGAATGGCTGCAACTCTTTGGGGACTTACCGTTGCAGTTCAGGCTGGTCACGCGGCCCTCCGAATGGCCCTCTGCAGAAAACTCGTAGTCGATATCGACTGATCCGTCGCGAGCCTGGCGCTTCAGGATGACGCTGTGCTTTTGGCCATCATCCACCTTCACTTGCGTGTTGCGAATGATTGCAGGTCCACTTCCCAGGTCGTAGCTGAACTCCAGGAACCCATTGGACACTGCAGAACAACGCGCAGGATTAAATTGGTGTTTAGTTGAGTCGGGTGGGCACTCACAGGCCAAAGAGACGTAGTCCTGGCCTTGGCCATCCTCATCTGGCCCTTGTCCATGCCAGAAGATCAAGCCTTCGGATTTGTTGGTGGAAAACTCCAGAGCGATGATTTCCGCTTCGTTCTCATTGCGATGAGGCAGCAACGCCTTGCTGAACTCCAGCCAGGAGTTGCCGTTGAACTGGGCGTCTGTTCTGAGCTCGATTCCTGGAAAATGCCAAAAATCATCCCAGGTGTCTGCGGTGTTTCGGGCGTTTAGTACTCTGCTGGCAGGCGGCGCCGGCGAAGCCCAAAGGACAGTCGCAGCTGAACCCGGTGGTGTTGAAGCTGCAGATTCCGTTGTTCTGGCAGGGTTGCCTTAGGCAAAGATCCACCGGGACTTCGCAGTTTTTGCCACTGAAGGCTGCAGGGCAAGTGCATTGGTAGTTCACAGGCGAGAGGGGGATGCAAGGTGCGTTATTCCTGCACGGGTTGTCGGAGCAGCCGGTTTTTTTGCTGTCGTACGCCACTGGTTTGATGGAGGTCTCGTGGTAGCCCACTGGGATGCCGTTCTCGATGTCCTCCTGTGCCCAAATCGGTCAAAATTTCGTTTTTGAACTGAATTTCGCTCAACTACCTCATTGGCGCAGTCCTCCACATTGGACGAATCCGTGATGTTCCTCATCATCGCATCGTCCAGCCCGGAAATGTTGATGTCCATAATGCATCCGTTGAAGCCGCCCTCCACTTTGACGCCATCATTCAACTTCACCGTGAATTCGTCGTAGCCGCCCACATACAGAGGCGTCAGCAGCGTCAAGGTCTTGAAAAAGTTGGAGAATCGGGTGGGAGTAGTGGGATGGCCATCAATCATAATCCGGCCATCCTGCGCCGATCTGATTGCCACCACGTCCGACCATTTATTGGGCTCGATCTCCTGGTCGCTTCTGATCACGTACGCTCCTGCAAATCGTCCAAGAGGCTTCTTAATGGTCTAATAAATCT